GTGGGGGGGGGGGCTTATAACGGACTTATATAACTGTTCATCAACTAAAAACTTAGTCGTCTCCGTGTTACTTTTCTCTGTTCCCAGAAGTTAATCGTCAGGTTAGACTGGTATCGTTTAAATTTAGTTTTGATAATGTTTTCCCTTAATCCTGGAAATAGGCCATCTTGTCCTACTTTCTCAGTCCACAAGCAAACACATTTTCACCTCAAGATAGCAAGACAGTGGTAAACGTCTTTCCTTTAAATTGGTCTTATCTTTCTGCTATTTTCCTCCTTCTACTCATTCTGTTCCCTCTCCTCCTGCTCTTTCTCCTCCTGCCCCTCCCCCTGCTCTTTCTTCTCTTCTTCCTCCTCTTCTCCTCCTTTCCCCTCCTCCTTCTTCTCCTCCCCTTTCTCCCTCTCCTCCTCCTTCTCCTTCCCCCTCCTCCTCCTTCTCCTCCTCCTCCTTCTCATCCTCCCCCTTCTCCTCCTCCTCCTTCTCCTCCCCTTTCTCCCTCTCCTCCTCCTTCTCCTCCTCCTCCATAATGTTCTGCTTCTCGCCTGACTGACTTTATAATATTTATATTCTTCAGTCAACAATATTAACAAATTTCTCACATTTCCCTCAGATTGTTCTCAAGAAGGGCACCCGCATTCGTTTCATCACAGAAGATATTGGAACACCCATGGAAAATCTGGGCAGTTTCACCAACTTCCACTTCTGCAACATTCCGCCTTTCTCCTACCACTCCTTCCCGTTCGGCGAGGTGCATGCCCTGAGCCCTGGCGACTACTTCTTCGTCAACAGAGACAGTGGCTTGTGTAACTCTGGCAGGAGACTGCAGATCACAGTGACCGACGAGTAAATTATTATAGTGTCTCAAGTTGCTGTGGAGCAAAAGTAAGTTTCTTTCTGTTACACTTCATTTTGGAGGTGTCAGAAAAATAAAGGGTGTAGGGTGTAAGTCACCTTGGCGTCGTTTCGAGCAGAAAAAAAAACAGCTGGGCTTAATCAAGTTCATCAATGATGATATAATGTTACTGAATTTTGGAACTTCAACGACATCTAAACATTAAAATTTCATTCAAATGCTATACTGCGTTGATTCCCCGGCACGTGACGTCATTATTAAGAGCTCTATTTTTAGCAAAATGTGACTTAGACCCATTATTTCCTAACTTAATCCCTTCGTTATGTTTCGTTATTTCTTTCATGGATTTTAATTGAAAAATAACGAGTGCCCTAGAGTCGTGGTTCTGATTTAGGGCTCTTTTTTCTCTTTAGTTTCTTTTTTCACTTGTAAAAATGACTTAGGCGCTTGTGGTATGACGATAACGATATGGCGTAATCATCAATAGATCCAATTACAGTACCTAAATTCCCCCCCCCCTCGTCCCCCCACATCAAATGGAGTACCTAAAGTTACCCCACTTCCATCGAAACCTTTTAAGTGTTATTGAGGATTTGGGGGTGAGGGAGGGGGGGGGGGCTCGGGGGGTTTGAGACTTTCGTGGTCTAGAATAAGGACAACACAGGGAGACAATGCATTCTTGGCATTTGTCAAATTTACCTTTGTTGGACTAGATTCCCTAATGATTGTAATAAAATGGCATTTATGAAAGCTCTCGTACATAGATATCTATTACTTCTCCTTTGGTACAATTTAGATCTTTTAGGACACCAGGACCAACACAACCTGAGTGATGCAATATCTCAGCAGAAAGACTGAAATACTTGATTAAATGGAAAGAAATCTTACAGTGTGTTTATATGTGTGTG